AAAATTCCGAGGAAAAGCCATCAAAAATAATGATTAAATTCCAGTCGTTATTACGGTTAAAATCACATCAAATATACACCTTCGTGTTCCAGGATACACATAGATTCATAAAAGCGCTATGATAGGCCTACAACATTTCAGCGTCTAAAAGTAACAAAAAAGACGGTAAAAAGACGACGATGTTATACGGACATTATCCGTATGAAAGCTGTTCGATACGTGCTGCCGTATCCGTGTGCCGTATCACGTATGAGACATACACACGTATCTATTTTTCGCGTGTAATTCGCGTACGTGACGCGGCATACGGACACGACAACACGTATCAAACAGCTTTCACTCGGAAATGGTCCGTATAAAGTCGTCCTCGTTTTACCATCTTTTTTTCCTACTTTTAGACGCTGAAATGTTGTGTCATAGCGGTTTTTTTTATGAATCTATGTATATCCTAGACCACGAAGGTATATATTTAATGTGGTTTTAAACATAGACTGAATTTTAATCATTGAAAAAGAGCGCCCCAATGGTAAAACTCGGAACTCATATACATACGCGTCGCGAAAACTCTAAAACTACATTGACGCAATGTATTACGTGATACGGGTGGACGAATTCCGTTTGCTAATGTATCTACCTCGCTATAACGTACACACCTATGTTGATCTGTGCAGGAAGAATTAAATATTATCACAAAACTACATTTATATACATAATATTACGTGATACGGGTGGACGAATTCCGTTTGCTAATGTATCTACCTCGCTATAACGTACACACCTATGTTGATCTGTGCAGGAAGAATTAAATATTATCACAAAACTACATTTATATACATAATATATGAAAACAAATATCACAGACTATCGATTAAAATTTAAAGCAAGTACCATTTTAAGATGGATATGTGAGTTATGACCAATGCGAGAGCGACACAAAACAACCCCACCTCGGCCATTAATTCTATAGGAGTTTGACCAGTCTCCTAAGAGAGGGGCTTAATGCGATGGAGTTTATTTGTGTCTGCGAGGCCCATCAAACATTGACAGCGACCGTCTATGTTTGTATTAATGGAGGATTCAAAATCATGAGAAATGTTGAATTCATCTAAAACAGAATTGGCAACTAAGTCTGCCTCAATGTTTACTGGGGAGCTGGCAGAGGACAATCTTCGTTCTGATCAGTTCATATGATTGGGTAATCGACCGGTTTAGTATCAATTGTTTGTAGGGAAGGCAAAGAATCAGAAAGCAGAAAGCACTATGCTTTAATGCTTGGGGGGTTGGATGGCCGAATGGTTAGCACGTCCGTGCTGTATCATAAGGCCTGTCATTGAGTCAACTGGCGTGGTTTCGAATCCCCGGTTGTACGTGACAAGGAGTAGGGTCGCCTGTCCAACCTCGTGGGTTTTCTCCGGGTCCTCCGGTTACCTCCCACTGCTAAAGACCCCTACGAGCAAGCGAATTAGTGAAAAAAATTAAAAACCATATGTTAGTCCCGAAATGACGTAGTTTGTGTCGAGTGGACGTTAAATACCATTTCTCTCTCTCTCTCTCTCTCTCTCTCGCTTTAATGCTCGCGAAGAGTTACTTCCAATAAAAGTATGACAAATTTAGTATGTATGGAAAGTAGAGACTAGAAAAGTACTGGATTCCTGATAAACACCAATGGGGCGCCCACCGAACGAAAATGCTAGGGTGTCCGTAACTAACAGCCTGTCTGCGCCAGTGACGTAAGGAACTCTTATGTGTTGATCTTTATAACTGACGTTTGTCTGAACATTGTGAGACTTAAACGTCCAGTAGACCTTGACATTAAACGGTGGATATCGAAGTTGTCAGAGAATAATTTCAGAATTTACGTAGGTTTCGTTATTTATGATAAATGAACAGCGACTAACGACAAAGACCAGCAAACAAACAAGAAGGCTTAAAATAAAATCTTGCAGTATAGGGTAGTTTTCATGAGATTACAATATGTTGAGAGGGATCTGAAGCGAACTTTGGATAGATAAATTAGCTTTCGAATATGTGTTTAGTCCAAATATATCATCAAATCAAACAGTTTATACGCAGGGGAAGGGCAGGGGCGTCGTTAACCCTTGTGCGTATACAATGGGTATTCCGGGACCCCGCGACCATATCCTTAACGTTTGTGAGGAACTGGTTCATAATTGTCTAGCGAGAATTTTAAACATTGTCAGCTACTTAATGTCGAGTATAATGCTGCAAATAGAACGGAAGTGAGGCAGTGGCAAGGAACTGCAAGTATTACATTATCGGAAACAAGGGGTCTTATGCCCCCCTTCCCTTTCCTTTCAACATTTTGCTGGTTACAAGTGTCTAATCTGTTCTGCGCTCGGTGCTAGCTTTGTATTTGGAATCTTTCCTCACTGATGATATTGTGTTGGTCACTCTAGTAATCTAGATCTGAAATCAAATCTAGATACTCTACCAACCTCATCAAAATCAAAAGAAGATTATTTGGAAATGACAATTACATTATTGTTAGATTTGTATGGTTTCAAAAATACTCTCTAATTCATATCGTCACTGTTAAATACCTCAAATACTTTTGTACTCTGATTGATTATTATTCATTCTTTATAAGAAGCTGTAGTTTGATTGTATTTGAATAAAATTATGCATCCAAAAACCAATTTATGTCTGGGGTCTTAGATTACCACTTGTTGCCGACAATGATTTTCGTGCGACGTTTTCGCACAGGGAGTAATGGGATAGACATATTCGATACCAAAGTTTCATAAAATACTAATTAAATTATTTGTAGTGTGGTTCTCCTGCATTTGCTAATACAGACCATTGGAATCACATGGAGAGAAGCAAAGAAAGTAGTTTTGGGATGGGAACTGCAGGAACTAAATAACTGGTTAGTTGTTGAAGGAAGGGCCGAGAGGATGGTGGCATAATACTGGGTTTATAAAGATGTATGCTCTTGGTGAGGTCAGAGCACTACCTGCGTAATAAAATAGCCCCTTCATTCCAAGCAAATCATAAGGTGGCTAAAGGAAAGATAACTGTTTCACAGTTATACAAGTTTTATACTTCATATCTCACGGTTTTTACATTTTGATTCCAATGACAGCCTGTAAGACTATTGCTAGAATTTTGGCTCTTTACATTAATGATAAAATTATATTGTATTAATTAATATCTTTGGCTAATTATTAGATTCACACATGGTATAGAAGTCACATTGTCTAATACGAGTGAATGAGTGACAGAGTGTTATATAAAAAAGAGTTATGATTTGGTAAACATTCAATTATAGGTTGATAACAGATATCTTGTGTGAAATTTCTACTGTAAGTTTCCACTATCCATATAAGGGTGGGTTTCGACCCAATCTCGTATTTGAACAATTAGATCATTGAACGTCCAAACCTAAAGCTACAAGACTATAAAAATCATATCTTTGGGCATTCGTCAGACAGTAGCTTGATTCTGAAAGGGAAAAATGTAGCAATTTCTATCCGCAGACTTGGCCCAGCGAGTCTGGCTGGATAGGGTTTGAGAGAATCACTTTATTATTGAATTATGCTTGTATAATATGTAACCAGATATGATATGATATAAAACGGTAGAAACCGTAACTTTCATTGTGTTTGTTAATCATACGATATTTGGGCTGACAACGTGGAATGTCAAAGTGGCATTTAAAGATATGTCCTAACCAGTTAAAGAATTAAAAATACAACCAGGGCTGTTCCAAATTATGTAGCAGAATAAAGTATGCGACACACGTTGGATGTGGGGAGTCTTCGCGTGTATTTTCCACATCTAGCCAGCGACTGCATAGTGCGGCATAGTGTTACAAGCCTTATTTATACTGTCTGTGATTTGTCCTTCGAGAACAGATTACACCGGAAGTGTTCTAGGAATCAAGTCCAGCAATTGTTATAATCTTTACGAATTTCTTGTCTGTAACGATTTACAAATTAAAATTATATATGCGTGAAGAAATTATTAATACGCCCCGTTAAAAAAATTAATCACCTTTACTTCTTCAGTCAGATATATATCAAATCATAAGCTAGCTAGCATATACACTTTTATCCATAAATGAAATAATAGAATGCCATTAGAGTGGTTTATAAATAATGGTATGTAAAAAAACACAAATTTATGTAAATTTTAAAAGATGTAGCTGGAAATTACTTCATTTAAACTAAGCATCGATCTCAAATTTTCACATCTAAGCTCCTCCCATCCAATGCATGCATATCGATATACTGTTGTTTAATACAGGTAGAAAATCATTTTATAACCAGTGCGCACATAACCTTAGACATGTTACAACAAATTGTCAATATTAGTTTTGAAAACATCAATTTGTCAGTCAAGCGAGGGTGTCGCTGAATATTTACAATACCCTTATGCCATCACAGATAAACAATTTTCTCCAGTGTTAAAAACCATTATCGGTGCAAGTAAACTGACGTGTGGACTTGCTTGCGCAGAAGATTCTTCTTGCATTGCATTTTCGTTTGATGAAACCCGAAGTGAGTGTAGGCTCTATGACACAGAGATTGGGGATAATTATCTGCTTCCAGATTACCTGGGTATAGACATATACAGTCATCAAGGTAAGTAACGATGCGAATTATAATAATAATAGTATTCATCGCTGTTTTAACTTCGACTCAACACAATACGTGTCTAAAGTGGTTGTCAAAGGAACGCTCCCGATTAACACAGAATATCAATTAGCGACACGAAGGTGATTTGAGAAATTCCGTCACTTGATCACTGTCCTTTCAACCTGTTCTTGCACAATCCAAGCGTGATAAACGGGGCATTTCGTCCTAAACCCGGATTGATCAGAAACGTAGAGCGTAAACACCTTTTTATTTTATTTCAATTTCTTCCCAATCCACCCAAAGCATTTCGCCCACCCATAACTATCATCATAGTTTACTGTTCACATTTTAGAGAATGTTTTAATGCCATTATAGAAAGAATGCTTTAATATTATTATCTAAAGAATGCTTTAATATCATTATCTAAAGAATACTATAATACCATTCTCTAAGAAATGATATAATACCATTCACTAAAGAATGCTACAATACTATTCTCTAAGAAATACTATAATACCAATGACCAAGGAATGCTACAATACCATTCTCTCGGGAATACTATCATACCAATCACCAAGGAACGCTTTAATACCATTCTAAAGAATGCCCCAAGACCATCCTAAAGAATGCCTCAATACCATTCTACAGAATGCTTTAATACCATTTCAAAATTCGTGCAGCAGTGACGGGTTCTCTAAATTGAACATATTCATACTCGATCACATAGATATTTTGAGCTGACAGAAGTGAGGTACAAATGGTTTACAATTAGACGTAGTTCTTGCACATGCACATGTCCCCAAATTTCAATCAACTATCTCAAAGTTTAAATAAAACATAAAAATCTGGAAAGCAGCAGGAATACATTTGATTCAAACAAGACCTTCAAAGGAATATAGTAGACTGAGTGCCGCAACGTTTGCCTGAAGAACTTTGTAGTCAAAGGTCATTTTGTTATTTGAGTAGAAATTCCGAATGTCCCTGTTACTGAGGTATAGGGCTTTTTTGTGGCCGAACTGGTAGACATCTACATAAAAATCTAGAAAGCAGCAGGAATACATTTGATTCAAACAAGACCTTCAAAGAAATACAGTAGACTGAGTGCCGCAACGTTTGTCTGAAGAACTTTGTAGTCAAAGGTCATTTTGTTATTTGAGTAGAAATTCCGAATTTCCCTGTTACTGAGGTATAGGGCTTTTTTGCGGGCGAACTGGTAGACATCTACAAACTGAGAAAAAAGAACCAGTAATTTGCATTAAGAGCTCTCTATATTATACGGCAATATGTTGGTTTCAAAAATAATTAATTGAATCGTAAGATTTCTCTGGATTTGACCATTCTGTATCGTAGGATGTGGTCAGCTGCCATCTGTATCAAATGCCTTTCCAACAGTGAATGAAAGTTCCAATAGATACCCCGTCGGTAAAAGAATTGGCTATTCGTGTATAGAAGGAGCCTACATGATTGGTAAGGGGGAATCTCGGTGTCTGTCAAATGGTACATGGTCAGACGTCAGCTGTGTATTTGGTAAGTACAATTTATTGAATGTTATGCTTAATGCCCCGTCAGACCGGGGTCGCGTCCTTACTTCGCTGATGCGACCGTACGGCGACCAGAAACGTGAACACAACGCTAGAAAAAGTAAAAAAAAAATTAATTTGAAAAAAAAAGCCGTGTTCTCACAACTTTCTAGGTAGGATCGCAGAACCTTAGTGTTTGTCTTAAACATGCTTAAAGACTCAATACCACTCTTGTTGTAACTGAATAAAGTTGTACTATTTTACAATATTCCAATTAATTGATGATACAAATTTCATCTTAACACACCTAATTTAAAAAATTGGAAAAATTCAACTAAATGATTTGAAAAGCCTGACGTAAAGCTTTTCAAATGTGACTTGGATTTAAAAATATATTTGAACCCTCTGGACAAGTAAAATAGGATTTAATGGTTAATTTACACAACAGGTAGGGCACTAACACATCTAGTACTTAGAATAAGGCTATTTTTTTTATTTTCTGGAGCTGTCAAGCCAGCAAGAGTGTTATTGTCCCTTTAAAACAAACGCCGTGACTCGGCGATCATTTGCGACCAGGGAGACCACAGCATGATATCTGGCGTTTCCACCAAGCTTGTACCACACTTATGGCGACCAATTTCCGTCGCCGTAGCAGCACAGTAAGGGCGCCACCCAGGTCGGACGGGGGTATAATGGATCTATTGCGTCCTTAAAACCGAAATCCTTGAATTATGCCATGGGAAATGTTCTTTTTAGCCAAAAATGCAAATGGCACAACGGGGTTGATTATTTTGTAGCGAAAGATTGTTTCTAGGTTCTCTGGAGAAAGCATGTTTCTATGTTAGCTCTAGGAAACCAACCGGTTGATCATATTTTAACATAACTCCATAACAACCAAATTTCCAATTGGTGGAGTATTTAGAGATTAAATTGACAATTAATGCGTTATTGTGGATGCTAGTAATTAATGCTAGGTTCCCACTATCAAGATTCGCGCTACGATTAAAATCGTGGTTTGAATGGTGGAGTAATCGTGGTGATCCGATCAGGTCTTATCATATATTGTTGTCAATCGTAGTAATTAGGTTGATCGTGTCGAAACGTCTCCGAACGGCACGTACCAGATCGTGGACTCAGTAGGGACAATCCGATGTTAACGCATTGCACGAAAGAAAGAGAAAGCGATGGGGTATAACGTCGACTCGACACAAACTAGGTCATTTCGGGACTAACATATGGTTCAATTGTATTTCAATAATTCGCTTGCGCGTAGGGGTTCCTTAGCAGTGGAATGAAACCGGAAGACCAAAGAAACCCCAGAAGATTGGAACCTTTTGGCCATCCAACCACCCACACGTAATAAAGATGCAATATATAATTATGGGATCTGAAAACAATCCAGCGCTGATATACATTCGTCTTCCGTAAGAAATCATTTACATAAATATGAATATATTGTTAATATAATAATCATAAATTATATAATATGTTAGTTTCAAAATGACTGTATATTGTGCCGATGAGACATTGAGCTCCCCCCGTTTATTTTTCAGTAAAAACCGGCCACGAAGCCGTTATTTTATTACAGCATATTGTGCCGACGAGACATTGAGCCCGCTCGGTTTTTTTTCAGTAAAATCCTGCCACGAAGCCGGTATTTTATTATTGCAAATTGTGCCGACGACACATTGAGCCCGCTCCGTTTTATTTTCAGTAAAAACCTGCCACGAAGCCGATATTTTATTACTAGACACATCAGGCCCTATTAAAATAAAACCAATTGGGAGTGAAGACGTTGTAACCGTTTCGTGTGAGAGAAAACAAAATGATGTTTACACAGTTATAGGTAAGCACAGTTATGAATTATATCAAATATTTATGATCATGAAATTCTTCTTCCACAAAAGCCAATCATGTAGAAGAAAATAATTCCCAATGAAAATTGTAACCAACAAAAAACAACAAATACAATAAAATCCCTGTAGTATACTTCATATTTTAAAGAAATTGCAACACTGATTTCAACTACACACCACCACATCTGGTCACAAAAGGGGTGTAGGTTTTTCTCAATTTGCTTCGTGTCCCATCTATACTTATGATCCGTTAATTAACTGCATATGGAATGCAATTAACATAACAACTTTGCCAAGCAGAAACTTATAATGAACCATAGAAAGGTATATGGATTAAAGTTATACTATAGTACAAATCTATCGGCACAGGGGGATCACGGTGGCTAAGTGGGTAAGGCGCTGGCTCGCTAGCCTGGAGGTCGGGTGTTCGATCCCTGCATTGGCCGAGAAAGTTCATCCCGATTTTCCGGCGTGGTTCTCCCTTGTCAGTGATGCAGGACGGAGGGTCTGACAAGGACAGCTGTCTAGTCGTTCGGATGGGACGAAAAACCGAGGTCCCGTGTACTCATTGGCGTGCACGTAAAAGATCCCTTGACAGTTGGAATTTGATATAAGAGTAGGTCGTAGTGCCGCTGTCCGGGCAAAATTTCCCTCATAGCACACTGTATGGCGTATGCCCGTCTTCATTAGCCCAGTTCGGAGCAAAACAGTAGGACGTTAAACCCCATTTCATTTCATTTCATTTCTATCGGCACAGTTCTTACTAAGAACTTCTTAGTTCATATTACTTTAGTCAAGTATACATTGCTCATTATTATATATCTATTTAATAGTCACTTTTTAATTTAAGTATTTCCACGTGTATGTGTGAAGTGTCTTGCTTGCAGATTGTCTTCCAGGCCACTATTAATTGGCCCAACTGGGACACTTGAATACACCCAAATTTCAGTTTATGATCGTATGGATGATATTCAGCATTCTGCGACCCCCGATGCGTTTCAACCAAATTTTGTATAACTGGTTTGTGCGCGCGTACCTCGACGAGGCTTATTTTAATAGTTTCTCCTCATTCACCTGTTTGAAGAATACTACCAATATGATAATACAATCCAAATCTGGAAAATCCTCAGAGACAAGACCCAGTGTGACAATTTGTGACTTTCATTTAATTTAATAAAATTGGACAATTTCTACAGGTCACGACCTTGCAAACAGAACACATATCAATGGTCCGGAGGATTCTTTCAGTTACGTTTTACCCATTGAATACACAATACCACTAGATCTAGCCATTGGTGTAGTCAACGTCTCGTCAGAATGTGAGCAGTTTATCAAATTTGAATGTTTCGAGGTTGGCGCCCAGTATAACTCCTTTAGAACCCGTACAGGAGAACAGGCAGATTATTTTGCTGGTGGAGTGAAGGGACGAGGCGATAATAATTGCGCCTGTCACATCAACAATACGTGTATAAACCAAGGCGTATGTAACTGTAGATTAAATACACCAGAATGGTATGCAGACACAGGATATAACCGATATAAAGAAGATCTACCAATCACGGCGTTTCTAGCTGGAGACACAGGTGAGATACAATAGGCATATTCTACTGACAAGGAAGAGATGCCGAAGTCCCATGTACACATTGGCGTGCACATAAAAGAACCCTTGGCCAATATTGACCGGGCAGCGGCGTTATGGCCTATACTCTTAAATCGAATTCCAACTGCCAATGCATCTTTTACGTGCACGTCAATGTGTACACGGGACATTCGTTTTTCGTCTCATCCGAACGACTATACGTTGTCCCTTGCCAGGCCCCCTATCCTTCACCACTGATAAGGGGGAACCACGCCGGAAAATTTCAATCAACTCTCTCGGCCAACGCAGGGATGGAACACGGGACCTCCAGGTTAGCGAGCCAACGTCTTACTCATCACCTAGCCTCCTACACATTGACCTTCCTGTCTAACACTGAAGTTCATAATAATAATAATAATAATAATAATAAATTTCGTCGGGGTCGGTGCTTTACTCTGCCCGTCCGTTATTCCATTTATGGCCTGACAGTACTTTCCTTCGACGGCACGGAAATCTGTTATTCCGTTATTCCCATCGCCTCTTGACTTAATACGAATAAAGATCTAGAATCAATAAAACACATCCTTTTGTTACATTAAATTGATGTGCTGCTAAGTGTAAACTGTGAACCGTGACCCTGCTGCTAAGTGTAAATAGTTACATTTAACCGTGAACCTGCTGCTAAGTGTTAATAGTGTAACTTTTACGGTTATTGTCATTACAGTGCATATCATATATACTTTACTGAATATTATTTATGTTCTTTAAACAGTGACTATATACTTTACTAAATATACTATTCAAAAAAAGTAGGGGATATTTGATTTTGGGGGCATAATACTAAAATATGCAAATGGCTACGAAAAAAGTCACTATAGAACCTAACAGAAGAAACATTTCCAGTTACATGTGACGCCCAAACGCACCAATAGCTACCGCATGGAATGCAGGTGATGCTTGGGATCATCATGGGGGTCCAACCCAAGATTTGCACGACTCTGACTTTGAATGTTACAGTCATTGTGGCATTGAATTCCAGGGTGGAAACATCAGTTTAATTGTTTTAGTGACCAGAAAACAAATTTTGATATGCGTCGGCTTTCCCAAAATGAAAGGTTACGTGCCCTTGGCATGCTACAGATCGGCACAACACAGGCGGTTGTGGCGCGGACGATGAATGTTTCTCAGTCTGTCATAAGCCGGCTATGGTCCAGATACCGTGATACACAATCTGTACAGGACAGACCACGCTCAGGTCGACAACTCAAGCCCAGGATCGATTTATCCGTACCTTGGCCTTGAGAAATCGTGTCATCACAGCAAATCAGATCAGCGCTCGTCTTCAAACAGACACTGGTGTGAGAGTGAGTGGCCAGACGATTCGGAATCGACTGCATAGGGGTCACCTTCGCGCCCGACGTCCTCGCGTGATCCCTTGTTTGAGAGATCATCACATTCAGGCAAGACGTCGTTGGTGTAGGGATCGTCAACACTGGGATAATCGACGCTGGAGCAATGTGATGTTTTCAGATGAGTCAAGGTTCACTGTTGATTTTTTGGACAGACATAGGAGGGTGTGGCGTCGTCGAAACGAGCGCTTCCAAGACGTTAACGTCATCAGACATGATCGATTTGGGGGTGGTTCTGTTATGGTGTGGGGAGGCATCACTGTTGCTGGAAGAACGGCTTTACATGTTGTTGCAGGGCGTGTTACAGGCCAGTACTACCGGGACAACATCTTGGCAGTCCATGTTGTGCCGTTCGCACGACGTCATGACCGCCGTTTCATCTTCCAGGATGACAACGCAAGATGTCACAGGGCCAGGATCGTTACAGGTTACCTCCAACAACAGAACATCACCACATTACCTTGGCCAGCACTGAGTCCCGACCTCTCCCCCATCGAGCATGTCTGGGACATGCTTGGACAGAGGTTACGTCAACGTCAACAACGTCCTGCCAATGTCCAAGAACTTGCTGCTGCGTTGCAACAGGAATGGGACAATCTGGACCAAAATGACCTTAGACGTCTCATTAGGAGTATGCCACGTCGGATCAATGCCTGTTTGGCAAACAGAGGAGGATTTACCCGTTACTGACTTGGTTGTGATGCTGTGGTAACTTTGCTGTTTGACCCCGGGTATCATTTTACCCTTATAATGGTCAGTCTGTGCCTTACTTAGTCTAACGATCATTTGGAATAAATCGATGAATGTGAACTTCATTTCATTTTGTCATTTGTTTCTTCGTCAGTTTCATTAGGTGACTTTAATAACACTTAAAAATCAAATATCCCCTATATTATTTATATTTTAAACAGGGCATCGTGGAGAAGAGGCTTACATAACTATCGGAAGTTTAAAATGTAAAGGAGAGTCATAATATGAAGAGCTAGAATATATCAATTACACTGCTTAGTTGTGATTAACCTGATAATTAACTCGATAATGGTGTGATAGGGCAATACACGTGTATCTGTTTGATATGATCGTCTGAAAGAAATTGTAACGTTTACTTTATTAACGGTAGAGTAGAGATAATAATAACGAAATAAATAAGGAGGTAAACGGCAAGCCGTTTTTACCGTCCATAGGGACATGAAGGCCAACACGGGGCTTTTGTTATAGAGCCAGTTAACAAGACCCTAACCCCCACTCTAGCCGCGTGGGGGGGGGAATGGTTATCACGTGCGCGCTGTATCATAAGGCCTGTCATTGAGTCAACTGGTGTGGTTTCGAATTCCCGGTTGTACGTGACAAGGCCTAGGGTCGCCTGTCCAACCTCGTGTTTTTCCTGGTCGTCTGGTTTTCTCCCACTGCTAAGGACCCCTACGCGCAAGCGAATTATTGAAATAAAAAAAAATAAACCATATGTTAGTCCCGAAATGACCTAGTTTGTGTCAAGTGGACGTTAAACCCCTTTTCTCTCTCTCCCACAGTGAAACATAGCTACACTACACATACGGAAGCTTTAAATCCAGGGACCGTCGAGATAGCTCCACAAAACGAACAAAAATATTTCAAGATATTATGGATAACCGATAAGAACATTCTGGAAAGTGGGCCTATATGATGGAGGCCATAAATTTACCGAACGTTTATCGCCGTTTTATTTCGTTATTATTACCCCCTCATCATAACGTTTATCTATTTCGTTATTATTACCATATGAAATTATTTCGATATATCAATTACAGTCATAAACTTGGACTGTTACTTGCACTGCATTGTATCTATAAATAGAATTCAGTTATATTAGTATTTATTTGTTTGTAATACCACTAAACAATTCACCAAAATAAGATTTTTACAAGCGATAACACCATGATACTTACTTTCAAACTAATTAACCTTCATTATTAATAATATGCAGCTATCATGGTACTCTTCATTTATCAAATGTATTCTCAAACAATACAACAAATACTATTAAATAAAATGAAATGGGGTTTAACGTCTTACTTGTGCACACCAGTCTGTCACTCGGCAAACCTCAACAGATTCCAGTACCCTACATCTAATCTCGGCTGTATGACAAAGTCCGCCATTAGAACTACTTTCAAGTTCCCGGATTACAATGGCGTTGTCCATGACGACCAATGACGTCATTGATGACGACGTATTTGAAAAATGTTTTATCTTACAAAATTTTCAAAGTTTGAAGCTGTTTTTCTTTCAAGTTTATCTGATTTTCTTTAGACAAGGACAAATTTGCACTGAAAATTCTACACACTCTTCGAACGACGCAATTTTGAGAACTTCTTTCTAAACGCGGGCAAGTTTCCCTTATAAGTAAACCGGTGCCGCATCGCAAATGTATAGGCGTAGGTACATATCACTTACTGTCATACAGCCGAGGCTAGATGTAGGGTACCGGAATCTGCCGAGGTTTGCCGAGTGACCAGTCTGTATAATGAAGATGGCTTTATACCGTGCAGTGTCCGAAGAGGACAATGTTGCCCGCTTCGTTAAACAGCGATCTTTGTCGCATTTAATACAGAAAACGCTGGAAAATCGTATTGTTCTAAATCTAAATTTATATATCTATAAAACATCACAACAATATAATTTCGCTTTACAGTGTAACATTTATCTTATAAGCACATAAAGCACTTAAGCATTCGCTCCGATGTGTTTCTTTCTGAGTTCCGTAATGATGTCTGCCTTAGCACAAAACAAAATATTCTGGTTCATTTTAAAGTCATACCATATTCAAAAGATGGCTGGTTGTTCTAGCCAATGGTCAGGACGATGGAGTCTTCTATCATCCCTGCATTATGAAAGATGTCTTTAAAGTGGAACCAACGTTTCCTAATTCTATTTTGGGCAATTAATTGCAGTAATTAGTTTACGTCATTAACATATTTATCATTGTATCGGCTAATCTGTTTCGTCGGCCGGTGGTCTGCGACCTAACGTTGCCTAATGCAGACACAAGGTGCTCGCTATTCAAAGACATTGCTAAAGACGAATCAATTGGTGACTAATTGGTCGTTCAAGACATTCCATGGTTAATGGTTAATTACGGATTTATGCCGTTAGTTCACAAATGAAGCCCGGGTTGTAATCACAGTCAACAGAGTACCATTGAAAGACTCCAGATGAATCTGCTGCCAAACCCCCACATGACTCTTGCATAACAGGCTCTAAGGGTGCCCAGTCTGTATAGGTTGTAGCGTCTGCCATCCGTCCATCGGTAAGTTCGAAATGGTCCGCCGCATAAATGTACCAGACACCAATGTAATATGTCACAGCTGAAAAGACATTACAGAAATGATATGAAAAGACGTCAGTGGGGTATTGTTGAAAAGTGCTTCGTCGCGAAAAATAAAATAAAGGCATATCATTATTTCGTCCCAAATTCATCTAGCTGGGTGGTTAGGTCTGTAATTGAAATAGGGTTTAATGTGTTACTTGCCTGCACCGATAGGTACACAGACACCCCCTGCATCATTAATAAGGGAAAACCACACGGGGAAACTTTCTCGATTAACAAATAATGACTTAGAAATATGCCTTAGTCCAAACATGACGTAACTTGGTGTTGTCGATTACATTCATCTTAACATCATATGGTTCCAGTCGGCTCGCTTTTGCGCAATAAAGAGCATAGAGTGGCTGCAGAAGGCCGGCGATGGAAAATGCACCACCATATGTCCTTTGACAACGTAATTATCAAATAATCTTTTTAACTAGTTATCAAGGGAGCGTAGATTACCTACAACACCACCAACGCATTCAAAATAATTTGAAAACGTATTCAAGGAAGTTTTTTTCTGATTGCCAATATCAGGGATTTATTGATTTTAATGCTCATCTATTATTATTTTCTGTCAATTAAGGTTGGGTTAAAATTAATGTCTTATGCTAATAATTAAGTTCGGGTAGTTCGCCGAAACATCCATCTCAACTAGTGACTTTGAGAAGAATGGCCAGATTTCAATTTATTTATAATTTTAAAGAGGTATGAAGGTGTAGGGCTAATTGTAAGTCCCCAAGGAAAGAAATGATAGATTGTGGTTGACAATCCGGAGAAATGAAATACCCTGTTACCTATATCAAGATAGGGGGTGATTTTGTCCTGCTTTTCCCGAGTATCTAAGACTATCAAATCAGCACCGTCCGTCTGGCAGAAATACCGAGCATTCACCCAGGTAAAATCCAAACCATTGGGATGAAAACAAACTCCATCGTTATATATGTAGTCGCTTGTACAGTAGGTTGGTCTAGCCACTACCTTATCTATAAAATATAAGAGAAATAAATATAAGGCATATTTTGGAGACATTTGTGGTCGCAATTGGTTAAACATGTAGGGTACAAGTTACTCCCTCAAGGTAAGTTTCATTTTTATCATACAGTAAAAAAAAACAAATCTTATTTTAGCAATTGCTGAATTGTGTTAATTAGAATGACTGAAATGTAGTTTTATGGCACGTCAGTTCAAACCGGGCTATATTGCTCAGCTACATAATTTTTTTTATAAATCAACACCTTTTATTAGAAAAGTTTCTCGGCCGTGTGCTTTATCCTTTATCGTCAGATGTAGGACAGGATGGGCACTCAAAGCACGAGACAATGATATACACATTATGTGATATCACAATTAATGCTTTGCATTCATGAAATTGAATGACAGTGTCATTGTATTAATTCATAATAAAAATTGACGTCAAACGAGGTGTTAAATTTCTCTGTTTAAAAAGCTCAATGTGTATGTATACACGCCAAAATGACGATAGAGACCATGTGGGGGAGGGGGAGATACATTGTCTCAGGAACCTGGCAAACCCCCTCCTGCAAAAATTCCTGGATCCGCCCCTGAAATTGTGTTAAAGTGAGTGTCGCTCTCACGCAATGATATCCATATTCGACATTATAAACACGAATTAAAATTTACTATTCATTTTAATGCTGTTGTTATCTTACCCTGAAACTATTGGCTAATAATATCCTCTACTTAAAAGGGCATTAGGTAAAGTTAGATAAATAACTGACAATTCTCGCTATAATTGTTAAAAAAATAGATAATGAAAACAGAATATGCTGAAAAGTTCAGTCAAATTGATTCACTCTGAACCGAGATATTAGAGAATTAATTTTAGGCTAGCCTCGAATGTTATCACCAACTTTGGCGCAATAATAAACCAAGTCTCGATTATCCAGTTCTACGTTTACTTATCCAACACAAAATGTATTCAAATGCACTAAATATCGCATCCTAGCGTTGGCATCGAGAGTAGATTATGGCTGGGTAAGTTAATTAATGTCTAATTAATAAATTAGATGACATTTCAGGCCCCCAGAAAGACCGGCAAAGGGCATATTTAGCTCTTGCATAATGTATGTTTAAGACACAATGAACAGCTTCAAATCAGTTCCCAAATTGGGTTTCTGTGTGGTCTTAAGTGCCATTTGTAATGAGAATATTTTAGTGTTTTAACTCATATCCACTGGGCTATGATGCATTCCAGAACTGGCCCTTATTGCGTTTCGTTAATGATTTTTCAACTTGATGATCCCTTATGATCTATAAATGGTTTTACCTCTGGCAGGTGAGACATAATAACGAAGATCAACCCTGGAAGAAGGTGTACCATGATCATAGATTTCATCATACAAAAAACATTGGTGATTCAAAACATCGTAGGAAAATGAAAAACAATCCGAACGCTCGCTACAAAATTTCGCACATTTTACTCTTCCAGCCTTTAAAACTTGTATCTCATTGGCAAAAATCTTGCCATCCAATTCTGGAACTCTACTCCAAACAATCGCACCACACTCAAGAAACGTAAATATCAGAAATCCAATTACGACGAACGAAGACATTTTATAAAATGAGATGCCGAGTTCTCCAACTAGTTTTAAGACCAGTATAAAAGAAAAGTTGTACGGACGTAAACGCCTGTAGGGGTCAATATATTGAAACTAAATTAGCGTATAGATTTTTAATGTGACTAAGAGAAATGGATTCAAAAGAAATATCAATCTGTAATGTATTTGCGTTCAAGGTCTAAACACGGGTCCACCAAACTGAACGATAGTTAACGAGCCTTAGGAATATTTACATCGACTTGTATTTATAATAATCAGTCGTGTAACCCAGTTAATAGACATCAATATTGTTATTTGGTTCGACCGTCAAAGGTACCGTTATATCAAGTAGTATCATATCATATAGATCAAATGAACATCAAACCTAAAAAATAAAATTAATGGGTCCATTGTTAAAGGCATTTCAAATTTAATTTTTAAAAAAGACCTTTTAGCATCAAATAGCCTTGGCAAACGTTTTCGAAATTTCTGCTATTTTGGAAACATCCGATTTAAAAATGTGCTGAAGCTGAATCGTGTGATATGACCTCTGTCCTATAGCGCGGTCAGTGCAGTTGTGCTAATTATTACACAAGTGTTTTGATTGCATTTTGTTTTGTAAGTTGATTAGTCTTGAATGAACGTTGAGTCATTTTATATGGCTTTTTAAAATGTATATCAACTCATAGATTTCGTCATACATAAAGCATTGGTAGTTAAATATGTCGTTGGAAAATGAAAGACAATCCGAAATAACGTTACAAAATTTCGCACATTTTACTCTTCCAGCCCTTAAAATCATGCCATCCAATTCTGGAACTCTCAAACAATCGCACCACACTCGAGAAACATAAATATCAGAAAGCCATTTACGAGGAACGAAGACATTTTATAAAATGAGATGTCGAGTTCACCAACTAGTTTTAAGACCAGTATCAAAGAAACGTTGTACGGAAGTAAACGCCTGTAGGGGTTCTATATATTGAAACTAAATTAGCGTATAGATTTTTAATGTGACTAAGAGAACGGGATTCAAAAACGATATGTCATTCTGCAATGTATACTAAGCAGCAAAAGAAACGTCGGGTTGGTATGCTACTCTCAATAGACGCATTGCATAAAACTTGCCAAATGTTTTATTGTATACTTGTAACCACATCTCCAATAAAGGCTCCTTCCCAAACACAGAATTGAACCCATGACAAGTTCTCAAAAACGCAACTTGACTTCTTAGATCGTCCGAACATTGACCTGGAAATGATTGGCAACGGCGTGGGCAGTGTGGCCAGCGTCGAGTCTTCCAGGCACTTGGTTCCTCTGAGCTGTCGTGAGTCATGGCATGCTGCTGACGTTGTAGTGTGAATGATTCAACCAGGTATGGGGGTGCATTTTATAGGGCTGGTCCCGGTGAACAGCTCGTGCAGCATGAGTTACATGAAAATCATGGAGAACACGGACCATCTACAGGTTTCAGCAACGCTTTCGGGCCACCAACACCACGGATGATCGCCACCAAACTGGTAGACCAAGGGTTACCACAAGGCGACAAGACCGCCATGTTGTGCGACTTCACGTGCAGAATCCCTTCACACAGGCATCTGAGACAGCACGTCAGACAGTGGGAACACACGGAAGACCCATCAGTACCGATACAGTGTGTCGACGTCTTACCAGAGGGAACATCCATTTCCGTAGACCTTACCGTGGCCCGATCCCCACCCCTCGCCATCGATCTGAACGTCTACAGTTTGCCCAACAAAACCAGAACAGACGACACAGGCAATGGAGAATTGTTCTGTTCACAGA